GGACGCAGGCCAGCGACTGACAGTGCTGGCTGAGATCACACACCCTGCTCTCACCCTGCCCGTCTTCAGGACTTGGACTGGTAAGACAGGCTGGGCCTGTTCCTGTCTGTCAGTCTACAGCTTGTCAGGATTTAACTATCTGCCTGAGTCCCTGTTTGTCTGATGATCAGTGTCTTATCGGTGTCTGTCTGTGAGGGGAGAAGCTGTCTCATTCTGCTGTGTCATGGTGTGTCCCATTCTGCTGTGTCATGGTAGGATATACTGTATCACGTGATGCTTGTCACAGCTGTGCTCAGTCACTTTGATGTTGTGTTGTGTTGGGTTGTGTGCACTGTTGTCTGCGATGGTGTCTGCTTGTCTCGTCCTCAGAGCCCATCGAGGAGTCGTCCTGACCTGAGAGACGTTCCAGCCTTGTGGAGTTCAAGTCCAGACACACTGAAAGACACTGCAGACAACCCATGGAACTACACTTCCCAGAGTGCACCGGGGTTGTACCCTGTCAGCATGGGACTTGTAGTTTTTAACAATCCAATGTACAGCATGCATAGAGTGGGTTTTGAGGGACTTTTGGCCTTTAAATTCTCGTTTCATTTTGTATTTCCCTAGCAGATGTCTTGGCTGTAGACATGTAACACAATTTCACTTGCAAGAGAGAGGAAATAATCAGGAAATGTTAGCTATAACATTAATGATTCTGCACAGAACAGATGAAATTAACAACCCATCTGCAAAAAGAACCTTGTGATGCATCAGCAGTTGAACAGGTTCAGCAGAAGGGGGCAGTAGTACCTCAGACGATAAGTGACGATGATTCATGATGTAGGAAATATTAGTTGCACTGAGATGAATTGTTGATTTAAGATATTTATTTTTTTCTCACATTAAATGTGTCTTGAAAGACACTTCACGACTGCACGTGTTTTTAATACAAATATTAACTCGCTCCCACTGGCTTTTACAAGTCTGGGGCTCCTGTCTCTGTACACACCTGCACCTGCTTTTATAAGAGACTCTGGGGCTCCTGTCTCTGTACACACCTGCACTGGCTTTTATAAGAGACTCTGGGGCTCCTGTCTCTGTACACACCTGCACTGGCTTTTATAAGAGACTCTGGGGCGCCTGTCTCTTTAAGACTTAGTGAGCAGTGGGGATGTTTCTTCGTGATGAAGACCTCCTTCCTCATTTGGACCTGGCCGCGGTTACAGAAGGGAAGTTTTGCCAGGTTGAGAGCCTGTGCACACCGACCGCTGCAAGAGGTGCTGGGAACTCCCCGTGCAGAGCTCCTGTCATGGGAAGGAGAAGGAGGAAGAGGAGGGCGGTGAGGAAGAGGACTGGCACAGAACCAAATCAAGAGAATTCGGCCAGCAGACCTCCAGAGCAAGTAAGTCTTTAATTGATCAAAGTCTGTTACTGGACTGATTGGACTGGGAGCTGGATGAGTTCTGAACTGGGATTATAATCAGACTCCACTGGCACTG